TTCTCTTGTGTAATCAGACTTACTTCCAACCATGTAAGGGGGTTCATTCATTAAGTCATATTGACTGCTCAGTTTTCCTCACACATTCATTGGAATGGCATCGACCGTCTGATGCCCCTCTAACCGTTTGTACAACGCAATAGGGAGCTGAATTTCAGTGCTAACCCTTTTCTGCCTCATATTATTACTGGGAAAATCCGCCAAACTGCGCTTTCTAAACGCAAACAAACCACTCGGTCCGGACGATATTCCACTCATTGTCCTCAAAAGCTCAAATCCGCCCTGCTCTTGAATACTGCAGTCACATGTGGGGTGGGGCTTTGTGTTCTCTTTTCTTACTTGAAAAGCTATCCGGTTGATTGATGTGCCTCCCCTAAGCTCCAATCTGCGGTCACTAGCCTATCGTCGGGTAGTTGCTTCACTGTTCCTGCTCTACCGGTACTAATTTGGTTTTCGTTCTTCGGAGTGCCTCTTCCTGTAACTTTTACCCGCCCATCCCGTGCACAAGCGTCTAGTCATCCAGATCAAATTTCGATCACTACTCTGTGTCGTACTTCCCTGCTTCAATCTTTTTCTTTCATCGCACTGCCCAGTTGTGGAACATCCACTCACTTTCTCTCTCTCCCCCTTCTTACATCCTTAAACTCTTTAAGCGCAGAACCAATTAATTGGATCTTGCTTGAATTTTTCTCTTATTCTCTCTCCTCCGGTATGCTCTTTGTCATAGAGTCATAATAATCTTTCTGGTAGTGAGTGCTATCCGAAAGGCGCATCAAAAAATGTACGTGTTTTTTCCGTGTCAAAAATTTTCCTCTTTATGAGTGAGTACAACGCAATGGGACGGAATCTTCCGGCGATTACAGTTTTCTTAAATAAGAAAACGTCATTGTCTGCAGATCTGCACCCCCCCCCCGAGAGATTCAATGAAAAATGACTACGTCTCTTGATTGTCTCATCTATACCGCCTGTTTCGGTCCGTTGTCCTGTCTTTTCACATGGTCACTGTTTTTTCTTGTATTACTACAATCTTGTACCATCCATGGACCCGCTTTACAGAGAGCTAATGTTTGCTTGTCTGCGTCGTCCACTTTGATCTGATTACACGGTGTGTGTGAATTAATGCTGACGATAGTAGCCTTATTGATTTGGATCGTGTCTCCACTACCCTCGCGCTCGCACGTGCTTATGTTCGTGTGGGTCCCCGTTTGGTGCGCGTGGTACCAATCACGCAGTGTCTGTGACCAATTCCACTATCCAGCTGCCTGATAATAATAATAATTCACATTTTGCCAAAAACGATTTCTCTGAGCACTGTCTCAAATCAGATCAGAGTGACCTTTGAATAGGTTAGGCATAGCGAATTTCTCTTTTTTATGATATACCATACGCACAGATCAATTAAACTCAGGTATATAGTCATTGATAAAAATACTTAGTCACGCATAATATGGGACTCATTGGTCGGGTAGAAATTTCTTTCAGATGGAAGTTAACCAGAGTACGTCAACAATGGCTGACGCCTCCTCAGTGGGATGCTTAAGTTGACTGATCAGAGATATTGCTTGTCCTTCGCAGTCCGATTCATTTATTCACTCATTTACTCAAATGTGGGTCGCGTCAGCTCTTGATAAAGTTATCCACAATTCACACTGTACAGATGATTTAAATCTGTCCTCAAAACACCTGTCCAGTGCTTCTTGTCAGCCATTACACATGCTTTCATCACACAGTTGCGTGATACGTGTGTTAATAATCATTACTGTAATTCACATTGTGTAATAATAATAAAATATTCATTGAGCTGGGTACGATTGAAACTTTTGGTGTGTTAATTGGAGCTTTACGGACGATTAATGCCAGGGAGTCCAACCACTAGGCAGGGTTTTCAATCAAACCCTTCAGTTCTGACAAGAACCTGATCGCAAGGCAGCGGTTAAGGCGAATTGGAGGCCCATTTACTTGGATCGATTACTTCACCATTTTTACCGACTGAGACGCCAACTCAAGTCGAACCCCCACCTGGAGAGCCGGGATACTAAACTTTGTCTGACTTCTATTCATTGATCTTCCAGGCATGGTTAGATATTTGGCTCAACAAAAGCCATCCTGTGTAGCTCGCTGGGTCAAAGAGGTGCAGAAGCCGCGTCAAGGTGCAGTCTCATCGTGATGGGTTAGTTGGGCGGTCCAGTCCCAGTTCATGGAACACTTCGGAATTTCGGTGGATAGGCCGCGATTCCTCACACGGAAGAGTCAGCTGATCGCAATATTCGTTCACCATACCAATGGAGGTCCTTTCGTTCTCTAAAATGCATTTTGACAATCGTTTTGTTGTTGTTGCGAACTCCCTGTTCTGCTTTTGGTTTTAGTTTAATAATCGCCAACAGGTAGTTTGCCTCGTTTTGTACGCTATGGGTCTTGTTGCACCTAATTCAGAGGCACGAAAGACCACTTGTGATTTTACCTAACCGCTTGGTCAGATGCCGACGCGAAGTGTATTGTATACATATGTTTTTGCGGGCACTAACCAAAACGGTAGTGACTGTTTGTAGTTTGTTTCCAACACTCGGACATGGTTGTCCATTTAAGTGATTCACTGAATCGCTAGTATTCCAATAAGATTCCGTGGATTGTCTCCTTACTTGCTTGTAATCGTTCGGGATTCCATTCCCCCTAGCTACTAGGAAACTGTGCTTTTTTGTTCTCTGAGCCAGTCAGCCGCCCAGAATGAGAGAAGGAGAGGTTACGGTTTAAAGGCCGTAGGCGGTCGATACCACTGCACAGATTGAACTTTATCTTTGTTGGTTTCAGTTCGAAATGAGCGCCGCGGTGAGTTCTCTTTTTTCCCATTTAACCGTGTGCGCTGGTCTTCGAAAAAATAATAATAATAAAACTACCAACTCAGGTGCTATCCCTTCCCGCTGCTCTTCTTCTGCTCCACATGAGCTCCATAAGTTTAATTGGTCTATTTTTTGTCTCACCACTGTATAGTGTGATCCTCCAGATTCGTGTGTGGTTGCGGTTGTGTAATATACTTATGCATGCGCTTATGCGACCCTAATCAACTTTCGCACCATGTCGGATTTGATTTGTCGAAAGAATTGCCAACACTAAATCGAGCCACCACCGCAAGCATTATATTTCCAGCGCTGTCTGCATTTCCCCGGGGGCGTTTTCGTCCAACATTGCCACGGATCTGCACGTGACGAGAAAAAAGCACATCGCATGCTAAGTCGCTCTCGTTTTCGGTCATTCATATTTTACCTACTGAAACACTACATATTTATCCGGCTAGGTCGTTGATTGACTACCACTGTCTTCTCGCACACAGCTCGGGTGTCAATAAAGACGGTAGTTTCTTTTGGACCGGAGGTGATTTCTCTGCTGTCCCATATGTGGGTCTGCCTTGTCCAAACCGGTGTTCCCCTACGTCAAAATTAAATCTCGTTTCCTGAAGACAGACGTAAAGGGTATACACGAAGTGATTAATTGGTACGCAGGCATATAGACGGTAACAGAAAAGAAATTTTTCATCACAAAGTGACTAATAGATATCTGAGTGTCATTTGGCGAGTGGATGATCTGTGAACGTCCTTTCATTAATCTGAAAACTAAGTTTAGACGAATTTCGCATTCAGCCCCCCTCCCCGCAGTCTCTTGGAAAAGTGCCGTTTTCCTACATGCTTATTACTGCGGTACAGCTTGTATCGCTTCGTGTCGACGCCCGTCCAAAAGACGTGTGATCTGATGAGCTGGCCACCGGCTACTAATGGATTACGAATTACGGTTTCCACACACCGCCCGGTTGCTTTTCAGGTGGAGCTTTGGCTAGTCAAAAGTTTCAATTGTGAATTCACCTGCCTTGACCCGAGCATCTGGGCAATATCGCGCCCACTAGCACATCACGGAACTCTTTCCGTTTATAAGGATTTTCGTATCGTGATTTGTTTTGCGCACAGTATAATCTCGAACGTGGGATATATATATATATACATATATATACGTATATATATATATATATATATATATATATATC